TGGGGGCTGTGAAATCTACTTAGTCAACTTCCTAACAGAAGAATCTCAGTGTGGTTGGTAGTGGATTTATCCTTTCCTGCTCTCTTCCCTGGACTAAATCTCCCGGCTTTCACAGAGTGCTATCACTCCCTGCTGGCCAGTTCTGGAATGACAGCCACACAACCAAGAGGTGTTTTGAGTGTCTCTGTTTAACTGCAAATTCACAACCATTTTGCTGCCTGCAATATTTATTATTTCAATCTCAAGCAGTAAAACTGAGTCAGACAAGATCTCCATAAAATTCTCATTTTATCCCTAATGTTTGGAGTGTAAAACATAAAATTTTAAATAATCCTAAATTACTGTTTTTAAGCACATTGAAAAAAATAAGGTTTACAGAGACAAGAGGAAAGGAGGGAGGGGCATGGGGAAAAGGAAGGGAAGGGGAAAGTCAAGGAACATATAGCAAGGACTCATGGACAAAACCAAAGGGGAAGAGCTGAGGGAGGGAAGGAGGGAGGGGGCAAGGGAAAGTGGTGGGGGGTAGGCAGAGACAAATATATTGGAAAAAATAAAGGTTACAAATTACAAAAAAAAAAATAAGGTTTACAACTGTTATTTGCTGCAAACAATTGATATTTGAAAAAGCTGCTAAAAAGTCAAAGCTCCTGGGTCACAAAGGACTGATACAATAGATAGGATAAAAAAATAACAACAGATAAGCTAGAAAGCAACCCACTCCAATGCCTGTAATTAGTTTGTTTGGGGTAGCAGTACTTCATGGACTCAGTTTCTATCATCTGTCCCTGAAAAATAATGCAATGTCCCATACGTGGGTTCTGCTCACAACTTGACTTCTCAGTGCTGTGTCATTTTAGAATTAATAATCATTTTGGGTGTCACCAGAAGGTCTTTGTGGATTTCCCAGTTGTGAAATTGAGAAACCTGAAGGAAGAAGCCCCAGTGAGCACAAAACAATTCCAAATTTAAAAATGAAGATTTATTTCTGAACTGTTGCCTCAGAGAGCAGTTTGGGGTTTGTTTATATTAAAAAAATTTTTTTCTTAACACATTTATTTAATGTACCCACCACTTGATGGGAAACACTTAAAACAATCGAAGTAGGGTGATTTCCAGGGCCAGGAAAGGAGGGAGATGTGGATGTTGGAGGGTTTTTTGTTTTGTTTTTTTAATCCTCACTGTAGGACATGCTTATTGATTCTAGAGCTAAGGGAAGGGAAAGGGAGAGAGAGGAAGAGAAACATCGATGTGAGAGAGAAACGTCCATTGGTTGCCTTGCGCATGTTCCCTGACTGAGGATCTAACTGGCAACCTTTTGGTTTACCGGACGACACTCCCACTCCGACCAACTGAGCCACCTTGGCCAGGGCACGTTGGAAGTTTAAGAGGGCCAGGCTGTTAGAAGCCCCCAGAGGAGTCGTGAGTCCTTCATGCCCCCTTGGCTGGGTGCTGGGGGCTGTGCTGGGGCGAGGCAGCCTCCGTGGGCCAGTCCTGAGGTCCCTGCTTCTCAGCACTGTGCTCCTGGCTCTGGTGGTGCTGGTGTAGCATCCACTGGCCCTGGCCTGCTGCTCTTAGATGGGTTTCAGTGAGTACAGTTGAATCCATCACTTCATGAATCGCCTTTAATCAGTTGAGGCCCCTCCAGGGGAGAAGAGTCCAGTGCGCCTGTCAGTCACGTGGACAGGATTCTTTGGAGAAAAGAGGGCAGCACCTTCAGAAAGTTGATCTAGATGGCCAGCTTGACTCTCACATGGGAAGCCAGGATGGAGGAGTAAATGATAAAAAAAGTGCTCCAACCAAAAGCCCAGAGTTTACTAAAATAAGCAACTGTCATTTGTGTTCTTGTAGGAAGAGATTCCAGTGTCTTCCTCTCCCCATTTATATTTCCTCTGCCTCCCTTTGTTTTGAAGCATGTTTCCGTTTCTGTGGAGTACCACTTGGCTTCCATTCAGAAACAGGACAGGTGAAAGGAAGCCATGTGGTTCTGCACGCTTCCACAAATAAAATCAAACCAGGATGGCCGGTGACTACGTACCTTAATGCCACTTTGCCCTCTTCGGGCTGCTTTCTTGTGAAGCCAGTGACCTAGAACCTGCCGGCTGATTGGTCCTGGCTGGGGTCTGGGTGAATGTGAAGTGATTAAGTGTGAGCTACATCACTATCTCACAAGCAGGATGGAGCGTATACCTGGGAGATAACTAATACTTAACTTATTTGCTCTTTTAGGCAACTTTATGCAGTCAGCAAATAGCTAGCAAACACTGAATCCCCTTCATGTGTCTGGCTCTGTGCTGATTGCTGATAAAAATGAGATGAACCGAAGGCACCTCCTACCCTCAGGTTCACGTGGTGGACTTGGGAGACCCATAGGTGGAGGAGCAGCCACAGTGCAGAGTGGTGAATTCTGGAGAGGTCAGGAGAGAGTTCCCTGGGAGCCCAGAGGCAGACCAAGTCTCCTGGCCTTGATGTGGGGAGGCTTCACAGAGCAGAGGGCATGTGCCCGCCTGTTAAGGGCCTGGTGGGATTTTCTCATTCACAAGCCTGGAGATGGGGGAAGGTCGGCAGGAACGTTGTCCCAGCCACAGGCAGTGCTACATGGGGTGGGGTGGGGGTTCTGTTTGTGTAGCATGGACCTGTTCCTCAGGGGTGGTGTGAGGGTGTGGGGTACACACTGGGCACAAGACCAGTAAGGTGGGCTGGGGTCAGATCCGGGAGGGTCTGTGCACTGAGTTAAAGCACTGATACTATTTCCAGAGGCCTGATCATGTGCCTCTTGCCTTTCTCTAGGTCATTCTGGAAAATGGGTCACCAAGAAGATAGGGTTGCCCGATAAAATGCTGTTAAGGTTGAATTTCAAATAAACAATGAATAATTTTTTAGTAGACATCTATCCAAACTATTGCATTATTCTTTGTTTATCTGCAATTCAGATTTAAATAGGTGCCGTGTGTTTTATTTGCCAAATCTGGTCACTTTAAAAGAAGAGCAATATAGAACAGGATGTATTTATCTGGTGAAATCTTATTAACCCAACCATAGGTTGAATGTTAATTAAAGATGTAATCAAAATTATGCTGTTAAAGCAAAGATACAAGAATTATAAACCTCTATGTTAATTTAAGATTGTTAAATTATGTTTTACAACGTATAAAATGGGTATAAATATGCTCTGTGCACTCACTGAACAAGAGGGTAATCTTCCTACAAATGTGCCTACAGAACACACTACTGTGATACACTCGATTGATTTAAGACTAGTAGTCTAGCTGTAATAAAAGTTGAAGTACAATAATAGTTTTACTCATCTTAGAATAATGAAACACTTTGTGGGGATGATTTACATAACTATCCTTTCTTTTTGAAAACAACTATACAGAGGATTTTTTTCCCTCTTTCTCTCCACACACTTCTCTGTAGCAAGCAGAAGATCAAAGGGTTTGGTGCAAAGTGTATGTGTTTGCAATTCTGTTCCCAGGAATTCAGGGCCTGGAGAACAAGCATCCTGAGAGCCTGGCATTTTCTTCCCTCTCCTTCCTGCCTCCCGCAACGTGCAGGGTGGTGTGGTGGCATGGGCCAACCTGGGGGAGAGGAGGAGAGGGTGACCCAGTGCTTTTTCTCTGGTGGTAGCTGGGGCATCATGCTGGGGTATGTGCACGGCTGAATGGACAGAGGCCGGGGTTTCCCAGCCGTCAAGACATCACCCACCCTCATGCCTCTGGGACTCCTGCTTCCTGGACAGCTGCCATCTGGCCACCTGGGCCTTTTTGGCTTACAGAGGGTGGGCTGGGTCAAGCAGGGGTGTCCTGTGCTTTAGGAAGTTGAGAGAACGATTCCTGGCCTCGATGTGAGCTGGCATTGTGGAGGACCCCTAATGTAGCCTGGACCTTCAAAAATGCCCTCGCGCTGTGTCTGGGGTTACTTCTGATTTCCAGGGACCGTACGTTGTGGGCCTCTTAATTTCAATATGTGGTTTATGAAATTAATTTTATCACTATGTAGGCTTAGTCAACAAATTGCCTAAAAACCAAACAACGCTTTTTCCTATAAAACAAAATGAAACCAGAACTTCTAAAGAACTCTTGCTTCAGTAACTGATAATAGTTCTGAGATTTCAGCTTGTGTGGTTTGGTCAGCGCTCACAGGCGCTGTCATCCCAGGTCAAAGGAAGTACGTGAAAGAAGCAGAGTTCACTGGGAATCCGATTCTTCTCGTCCCTCGGAGGCCCGCATACAGAAGCTGTAATGGGGAGATTTGTGTTCCTTACTGCTCATGGGGAGTCAGAAACATACCCTGAACCTTCATGCTGCAGCCGTAGTATTTTAAAAACAGCATGCTGCACTTTCTAACCGCCACTCAGGGCTTCTGGTAAGTAACAAGGACAGAAGCTCGGATTCCTGAAGAGTGCTCTGAGTTATGCCACATTGGGTCAAAGTCTGATTTTTTCCTTTCAAACTCAGCATTTAAATGACTTGTCAAAATATGGGCCCTAATTCGATGGGCCTGTGTCCAGTAGAGCGCTTCCCTTCTTTCACTGTGTTCTTGGGAGTCGCTGTGTCCTGGGCAACCTCCTCTAGCTGTACCCCCCGCACTGGTGGCTGCGGAGTGGTCCTGGCTGAGCTCTGGTGTCCAGGGTATTTACGGAGCTGGCCCAGGGTGTACTGCTTAGAGGGGTCTTGGATGGTCTGTCTGGCTTGTTCCTGCCGGCCCCACTCATTGCCATCTCCGGCCTGCCAGACTCCTCTTTTTGGATAGGCAGTGCCACTAGCATACATGCAAGTCATTCATTGGGTCTTTGAAACTTAATGTGAGGGTTAGAACAGGGCTCTCAGGATGGGTTTTATATACATGAATGAGGCTGAGCAGATTTACCCAGACACCTTTCATGCATGGTGACACTGGAGTACCATCCTCATCATGAGATGCCTGGTGTCTGTATTTAATCCAGGAGCACATTTCCTGGTCTGTTTTTCTGATTTTATACATGTTTGTCTCAATTGTAGGACTGGTCGCCATAAAGGATGCCCATGATATAGAGACCAGGCTCAATGAGGTGGAGAAGTTGCTGAAGACCATCATAAGCATGCCATGTAAGGTAAGTGAGGGCAGATGCGGGCTGGGTGGAAGGTCAGCACATGTGGCCAGTTTTCACATAACTGACCTGCCTGCTCCCTTTGCCACTTGCCCCTTCCTGAAGTATCAGGCCATAGGGACATGGGTGGATATAACCAGGGGAAAGGGAGACTCCTATAAGCTCCGGTGGCTTTATTTATTTTTTTCCTTCCTGGGAAAGTGGAAGATAGGAACCAAGGAGGTATTGAGTAGGAGGGAACGTGGCCCCCCCACTATGGTGGTTTTGTGTTCTTGCCTCTGTGCAGAAGCCCACAGGTCTTGCTGAGGGTGTTTGAGAAGAGGGAGTGTGGAAGCCCAAGGGAGTGTTAGCATCAACACTGGCAGGTAGCCTTTAAGGAAGTTTGCAAGCTTTGTGTGCAGCAGTGATTAAGAACCTGGACTGGAGTCAGGCAGACCACCTAACTCTTGTAAAGCTTTTATTTCCTCCTCTGTGGATGGGGAGAGTTGCTGCACTCATAGTTTAGTACAAAGCAAAGGGAGATTTGGTGAAACTGGGGCACCTATCAAGCACCCAGGGAAACTAGCCATTGTTTCCGTTACCCTGTCCTACCTGTCCCTGGGGCCTGCATTTTAGCTACATCGGGCCAAAAGGAAATGAAAAGTCCAGTGATTGCCACTTCCTCAGTGTGGTCCGTCCTGTGGGCTATCTAAATAACTCAGGGGCATTAGCATCAGACTGGGTCACCTCGCAGACGATGAATTTTTAGTGATTAACCTATTTCTGCCCAGTATTCTAGGTCAGAAGTTGTGCTCACCTTCTTTGAAAGATCTCCTCTGGATCAGGTGTTAAAAAATGACAATGTACATAAAATTCAACCCAGCTTTCAAAGTCCGGTGAAAATATCAGGTAAGAGCTACAGAGAAGGCCTGGATAAAATGCTGTCGTGGCTTTCTGCAAGCCTTTTCAGGGTGAGGCCTGTGTGGTAGGACATACCTTCCCCCCCGGGCTCTGGAAAGACAGTCCAACAGAATGCTGACAGTAGTGGGTGAGAGGCTATTACCAGATCTTTAGGAAACAGTGTGCTTTCTGACATACAGGGTATATTCTTTCTGCTTCTTAAAGGAGTTGTTTGTCATATAAATTGGAGCTTACTTAAGAAATAGTATAGTGAAGAAAATAATTACCAAGGCATTTTTGAAGCAAACTGCTGGAATCAGTAGTCTAGCCTGCTAAAATAAGACGGTTCAACATAATGTAGCATTGAATTTGTTCTTAGTTTTAGGGCAGCCATGGCCAAAAGGGGAGCACACAGTTTAGATATCATTAGCATTGATAAGTTAACTAAAAAGTTAACTAAAGAGGCAAGGTTAACAGCAGTAAGAGCAAATTGTCACCTGAGCAGAGCGGCTGGCCAGCTCACATGTAGGGTCAGGTAGAAGAGTAGGGGAAGCCTGGACTTCACCCTTTTGGTAGTTTTCTAAGGTCTGAGGTGCACGTGTCTTTAGAAAACTATTATTTCTTTGTGGTATGGTTTTGGTGAAGACTGCTGAGGAGCATCCTGCAGAGAAAAGAGCTCTGTCCTGGGGGTCTGAGGTACTGGGCATCCCCAGGCTAAAGGCAGTCAGCTTGTTTTGCCGAGAGATAGCATCCGAGTGCAGTCTTGGAGGAGTTGGCCAGGTGGTAAGCGGGGGCGGGGCAGGGGGGAAGGCAGTAAGTCGTAAGAGGAAATGAAGCTCAGCTAAACATGAGAGCCCGTGGGATGTCTTGATCTGGAGGAAGGAGAGAGGAGGGACTCTGTGTCCAGCACTCCACTAGTGAATGGAGGAGGAAGGAGAGAAGAGCAGGAATGGAGGGGCAGGGCTCAGAATGAAGTTGATTGAGGAAGAGTTAGCAGATGAGAGCGGAGAAGAACCCAGAGCCGGATCCTAAGCAGAAATTGGTGGTCACGGTGATGGGGAGAAAGAAGAGGGCAAGCTGGGATGACTTCACTGGTAGAAAAGTGTTCTTTTGAGTTTGATGCCACAGCAGGGATAAGGGTCCTACTTGTATGCTGGGTGAGGTGGACAGGTTAGGCAAGTTCTGGGAACCCAGAATGGAAAAGGTACTTCTAGATATGACTGTGTGTGAGCAGGATGGGCTTTAAGCGTGGTTTTGTCTCTGCTGCTTTTGGTATCTACCCACAGCAGCTTCCTGTGTTTTCTTAGAAAGAAGAGCAGGGAGGTTCAGGAGCCCTCCTTAGCTGGAACTGCTAGTATCCAGACCCTTATTTATAGTGGAGTGAAAATGGCTGTCATTTATCCTAGTGGATGTCTTTGGACTCTAGTCTTATGGGCTCAGAGGGGGCTCCAGGACCCTAATTCTCAGCCGTTTGGGATTTTGCATGCTGTCCCCTGGAAGAGGGGCAAGATTCTGTCCCTCAGTACACAGTAGAAAAGTCCTGGCACTGGTGTCTCTGTTTTGCTTTCTTTCTGTTTTGAGCAAATGGGAGAGCAAAGAGCAGCACAGTCCTTTTGGGGCCAGTGTGGGTGGCAGGAGCCGGAGTGTTGCTTCAGCTCGGCCCCCAGAACATTCCTTGCCCTCTGTCTTAGTGTCCTGTCTCATCAATGACATGGATAAACATACAGTCACATTTACTCTACAGAGCTGAGAGTGCTGAGATGAATTTTAATAGGCATAGTTGTGGAGTCCCGAGCTGAGCTTTTAAATATGTTCTCCATGCTTTTGTGTGAGGACTGAAGACAGAGGTTTTAGCTTATACCATACATGAGCCTCAGCAGGACCTTGCATACATGGCTAGGGATGCAGCGTCGAGGTCTAGGAAGACAGAGATAGTGACCTCCATGTGCCAGCCAGGAGCCCTAATCATCTGGGGCAGCATGCTCTGCCCTGGGGACATAGCAGTGGGCAGAAGTAACCACTGCCAGTTTTGGCTCTGCACAGAACACTTTGTAATAAATGGAGCTGCCTAACAGTGGAGTTTGTAAACATCTTTTGCAAGTCTGTCCCTGAAAGTCTCAAGCCTGGGGGCCTGTCCACAGAGTCCCTGCACAACCTGACAAGCTGGGGGTGCCGCTCTCAAACCCTTGCAGAGCTAAAGGCCTCTGACTTCAAGGGGTTTCCTCCTCTTCCTCTGTCCTAGTCAACTGGGCACCAAGTTAGGGGATTCTCCCTTTGAAGCTACCCAGCCTTCCCTTCTTTACTCCTGGACTAGTGGCCATCTTTCTGAGCAGGCCTTCCCAATATAAATTAGCATGTAGGAGTGCAGGCAGGAGGGGGTATTCCCACGGATGTAAGGACTCACTCTCATTATTCATTACATGATGAAATCAGTATATTAAGGCAACGGACTGTGGTAAATTCAAGAACACTTTTCAGTGAAACTGGTATTTGCAGTAGTACTGACATCCCTTTGCAGAACTAGTGCACACACGGGCAAGCTGTGTCCTTCGGCCTCAGTCCCATATTACAGGTGTTGCTGGATTCGGGGATCCCCTGCCCTGAGCCTCAGACCTGGCACCTCCAGAGAACATCCACATACATCTATCAGCCTCCCCCTTTCCCTAGTGTAGACCCCAGATAGATGCTGACGTGGTCATCCCAGAACTCGGATTTCCTGGGCTTGTTAATTTTCCCAAAACCTTATGCTCGCAATAAAACCCAAGACCCCTAGTCATTCCAGGCATGTCAGAATCTGGCTGACTCTAGCTTTTTGACTTTGTCACCATAGAGCCCAATGCTGCACACCCTCAGCCTCTTGTGGGCTGGGCTTTGCTTGTGCTGTGGCTGTCCCTCAACCACCACTCCTATCCTGCGAAATTGGATTCATTTGTGAAAATGCCCTGGCTTGCTGCCACTCACCCAACCCCTCCTGCTCCTCTCCCTACAGACATCTTAATGTCTTCTCATGCTGTTGACATGGTCTTTTAGGGAGGAAATACATGGGGATGGGCACTGGCCTCCCTGGCTGTCAGAGACTGCTCTTCACACTCTGTCTTGGGAGCATCCAGCCTCCTAATGTTCAGACTGTACAGGGGCCTAGAGCTCCAGTAGGTGGCGCCAGGCGCTCGTGGTGTGAGAACTGAGCCTCATCCTGGGTCCCCAGCAAGAACAGTCTGGAAATACTGTGGACTCCTGGTGATGCTTTGGGTCAATACAACCTTAAACATTCTTCATCCCATGTTAATCTAAGTGCTTATCAAATCTAAGAAAAAAAGCTATATATAAATTAATGAGCCGAAGGACTGATGGCATATGGGGCAATGAAAATGTTGTTGCAGTTAAAGAAGAAGAAAAATGACTACTAGGCAAACACTGCCTAGTAATTGTTGCAGAAAAGATCCATTGGTAGATGTTAAGATTAGTGGGGAAAAGTTTCAGGAGAAATAGGAGCTGCAGAGTCTCAATGCATCTCTCCAAAAGGTATTTCTTAACTACCAAGAGAAAGATAATAACCTTACTTTGTAGAAACTGGCAGAAACCTCCTTACCCAGGTGATACAGACCCACATTCCAGGGGGAAGGCCAGTTGACATCACATAACCCCTGATGTGATGCACGCAAGAGAATGTGGTATCCCTCTGCAGGATTCCTGCCCAGGACGCACCACTTCAGTTGAACTCATGAAAAATGTCAGATAAATTGAGGAAAGTCCTCTTCAAAAGTGTCACATCATGAGAGAGGAGAATAGACCAATGAACTGTCAGAGGTCCTAGGAGACTGCAATACAACAACCTAATGCAATAAGTGGTCCTGGATGGAGTCTGGAACCAAAAAAAAAAAGGGACATTAGTGAAAAAGCTGGTGAAAGTCAAGTGAGGGAGATAATTAGTTAATAGTATTGTGTTAATAGTATAGTATTAATTTTCCGCATTTGATAATTGTACTATAGTTACCTAAAATGTTAACATTAGGACTTGGTGAGGGGTATGTGACAATTCCGTATTATTTTTACAAAGATTTTGTAATTCTAAAATGAGCTCAAAATGTTAAGAAAAATAAGAAATGGCAAAGCAGAACTCTACTTAATGTGAAAAAAATATGAATCCAAAAATGTAGCTTGAAAATGAGCTATTTCATGGAATCAGTCATGTATATGATTAAAGTAATTGAGTCGGCTAATGATTCTCGTTCTTTTTGCTCTAGGTACTAAACTGATTTCTAAGAAATTAACAGTTTAAGTGTGTTTGAAGATAGGTTCAAATGCTGTAACTTTTTTGCAATGATAACATTGCTTTGGTTCTTTCTATGTGTATGACACAACAGATATGAAGACATTAGCAACAATGGCAGTAACAACTGTTTGTCAAGCCCCAGGCACTTATTAGGTTCTTTACAAATACCATCTCCTTTAATCTGCATCGGACGCCCTTCAGGATTGATACTGTTGTTCCCATTTTACAGATGAAGAAACTGAGCAAGAAGGAGCCTGCTCCTCAGGGATAAAGATCAGAACTGGATTTTTCTCAAGGGCCCGGTTTGCCTTGCAAACTATTAAACCATATTTCTGTGCATAAAAGACTAGCATAGGCAACTAAAGAATGATTTACTACACATCTGCTTTTGGGGGCTGGTAAAGATTCCATTTTGTGGAGTTTCAAATTTCACACTTAAGAAAGATTAGGAAGTTCCTATACAAGGCATTTCTTTGCAACGTTCAGCAATGTTTTAAGGCCCTGACATTTGTTTTCACTTGTAAGGTTCTCCCCCAGAAATTCCCTTGGCAAGGGGATGAGAGAAAGGTTGTAGGGCTGTCTGCTGGCTATATTGACATGACTCTGAGGTTTTATATACTTCCTGAGATAGATTTGAGTCAGACTTAAAGGAAAGCAGTTAAAGAAGGTGTTTTTTTTTCTTTTTAATTGCTTATATTAGTGCTCCCATACATTTACAATCGAGAGGGGAGAGAATCTTAGTCTTTCTTGTTAAGATTTTGCCTTCTTCAGAATCGCTGAGGCTTTGGTAAACATCTTTTTGTACCTTTTTGCACCTAGAAATGGAGTCAACCATAGAGGTTTCAAGCACTGACTTTCCGGTGGTTCTCAGTGCTCCTTCTCTGGACTTGCAGATATTTTGTGCTTGTTCTTGAGCAGGTGGGCTCTCGGGTGGGCTCCCGCCAGGAAGACAGCGCAGGGGAGGGCATGTTGTGCTGATGTCACAGTGACTGACTGAGCTGGTGTTGCAGAAAACCAGTGAAACATTAGCTGTCACTTCTCCAGAAAGCCAAGTGGAAATTTTAGCAATGAATTACTTGGCAAATCTTATTGATGAATAGTCATTTTAATCCTATGGGGGTGAGGAGGAAGTCTTCTGTTTTTCTTTCTTCATTTTTGTGTAGTTTTCCTAATTCTCTTCATATGGAAAGAAACTTAAAGAACTGAGAACCAAAACCTAGAAAGATTAAAAATAAACATGGAGTTAAACTCTCACTTACATAAAAGCAAATCCACACAAGGGAATAAAATAATCTAAATTATGGTTAGGTGTAGGAAAAGGAATAAAACCCTCTCTCAGACAACAGTAGCATCAGATGCCCAGTAAGATTGGGTGCCCATGTTCCCTATGCCCAGGTAGGAGAGAGGAAGGGCTATTTTGAGCTGCTTGTTTCTGTGTGTTAGGCCTTGAATGGGAAGATGATAACCGTTTGGAAAATTCTTTGAATTTGAGAATGTATAGGAAGTTTTCCAGTTATGGCTCCTGAGTCCCAAGATCACAGAGCTCATTGTTGGGCTGGGCTGCAGGACCTGAGCTCCCAGCTGGTACCAGTTCAGCTGCCACACCCTCAGACATCCTATTCCCATCCCTTCCAGCACTGGATGACCAGACCCAGGTCCTTGAAAAGCTAACGCCATGTAGCCAATGTACACACAAAGACATTTTCTTTTTTGGCCTCTTTAAATGATCAAACTTTGTGTTTCTTGGTAAAAAAAAAAATCAATTTATATACAGAATTAGATAAAGTGAAAAGTGAAGTCACCTGTTTCGTTTAAAATGCACACTGATCTCATTTAATCGACACAGCAGCCCAGGGCGGTGATGGTGTTACTCTGTCTCAGATACAGGCAAGACCTTAGAAACCTGCACCCCCTGCAGCGTGCCTTGGACTTGGACTTGGACTCGGACTCAAACCCAGACTGACAGATGTGAGCTCAGTGCTCTTTCTGCTCCAGCTTCCAATGCATGGGGAAGGGTATATGGGGAGAAAGCTCAGAAAACCAGAGCCTCTTCCTTGGGGAGAGAGAGGCCTCTCAGCTTGCATAGGTCAGGTCAGCAGGTGTGGCTCCTGTGAAGCTTGGCGTCAGCCCCTGGATCTGTGTGGCAGAACTCCAGAATGGGCTCCAGAATGCTCCTCTGGGGTGCAGAGTGTTCTCTTAAAGTGTGGAGGGGGTGGGGCCATAGGTAGAGGAGGAGGTCTGAGTCTGGAGATTGGTGTAAACCCCAAACTTGAAAACTTCAAAATCTTACCCTTCCTGAATGTTTCTTTAACTGTTTTCATTTTCAGAAATCATGAGGTCCAATGGATTTTGTTTAGCCAATACAGAAACTATTGTTATTGACCACAGTATACCAAACAGAAAAGAGCAGCACCTGGGTGTGGATTCGGCAGAGCATTTGTAAGTACACTGACTTGAATGTAGTTTTATAGATGGGATCCTGGAGCCGACAGCCAGTGCCAGGGCCTGGAGTTCACTGCCATGCAGAGCTCTGTAGGTTGGAACTGCAAGTGGCCAGAAACATACAGCCATCCTGCCAGTATTTGGACATTTATTTAAAGAGTTTGCAACTTTTCTAGAGGATAGTAAGGCTTGGGTTCATAAACCTTGTGGGAACAGATTTCCTTTGCCCTAGTAGCTGGCTATGATGGGACATCAAGGAGAAGTGGCCAGGCTTCAGGGGCTGGTCCTTGCTGGGCCCTGCAGGGGTACAGGAGTCACAAGCCTTCTTGATCATAAGGCCTGGCCTCCTAGGATGGGGAGAGGTGTTACCTATATGTTGGCCTCACGTCGCAGGGCTAGAAATTCTCCAGACTCCCAGGTGGCAAGAGCCTGGCCCAGAAGGCCTGCTCTGAAGGGAGAGAGGCTGTGTCTGATTAATGAAGGCAGGACAGCCAGAAACACCACTTCTACATCTATACTTTTCCTTTCTCTTATAACAGAACTTTGACCACAGTAATTGTTCTGGGAAGCACCACATCTGGGGCCCCCTCAAAGCACAGCCGCCTTCATCCTTTTTGTGCTTCCGGTCATCTCCTTGGGAATTATCGGGAAGCCGCTTGAAGGGGCATCATAATTTGGCTTCTGTTGACTGTCCAGGCTAAGCCCAGGGCTCTTCTGGTGTATGAGCGTTAGGAAGTCTCTTAATCTCTCCTGGCTTCTCTTTATCTTTACAGTGGGACCATTACGGTCTCTCCGTGTCTGTTGTGAAGACCTTAGGTAATGAGTGTGAAATGCCTGGCTTAGGAGCCCCTGAGGTAGCTCTGGGTGTGCAGAGTCTCCCTGTGGGCACATGAGAAGCACATCCCGTGCTTGAAAGGACTTCTCAACATCCCAGGTTCCAGCCCATCCACTCAGCTGAGAATAAAAATGGGCTAGAGCAGGCTCACATGCGGAGACACACATCTAGGCTAGTTGACTGCAGGACAAAGTGTGATTCCAGGATGTGTCACCTCTGTAGGCCCCCTGCTTTGTGACTGACCCTCATAGAATGGACTCCAGCCAGCAGTTCCCACTTTCTTAGTTTCTCAGTTGTTTCTTGGGTGGATGGCACAAGAACCCTTCACAGTGATGTCATGAAATGCTGGTATAAAAGGTTTGGCTGGAGAGGCCAAGGGGATGGTCCTTCTCTGAAATACTGTTGTCCCTTTGCATGCCTTGCCATGACACATACAGGGCATTGCACCTGCTGTATGTGCATATGGATAGCACAGTAGTTCAGGACCTTCAGGTGCTCCATGCTAATGCAGGGCTGGCACAGTAGGGTACAAGATTGATGTTTGTTAAGTGAGTGTTGGAAAGGAGAGGTCCTCTAATGTAATGGGCGGCATGTCTGGCTAGGGCTTGTCATAGTGTTGACCATCTTTCATCACTAGTTGCTCTGTCCTAGCAGCTAGTCCTAGCTCTGGCTCCAGTGTTCCTCAGGTAACCTTTTCCTTCTTGAGAGGCTTTGAGAGGCCTTTTGCACCCTGGCGTGAGGCCAGTCATGAGAAGTTAGTTCAACTTAAAGAGTTCTGCTGAGGAGAAACACACAGAAAGCAAGGATGGTACCATGACTGTCCCAGCTAGCCCAGAGCTTTGCAAGGATGGGCATGACTCAGTCTTACTATGTGGCCACCTGCCCAGGACACCTGGCTGACAGGGAGAGAAAGCAAAGGAAATTCTCCGTGATTCCAGCAAAGCTTAAAACCTAACAAAGAAATGTCTGCCTTCAGGCGGCTTGGGGGAACAATTAGAAGGGCTTCCTGCCTCCGGCTTGCCAGGTATTTCTCTAAGGGCCTGATCTAGGGCAGCATGGCTGAGCTGATGATCTACTGTTGTCTATTTCTTGGGAGCTGTGTGTATTCATACTCCACGGGGCTGTCAGGCAGGTGGTGTGTGGTGACTCCAAGGTCAGGAGGACATGAAGAGATGACATTTGAGTAGTTAGAGGCTTTTCTGCCCAGCCGAAGCCATCCTCAGTGATACTCAAGGGAGGCTGTTTGGCCCTGAAGCTGTGAATTCAGTGGTGTCTGATCTGCTTGTTAAAAGGGTGCCATGGAGCCAAGTAGTCTGCTTCCACCTGTCCCTGGAGAGGCCAGATACCAGCCCCCAGGACCAGAGACCCACAGCACTCAGGGGATGAGTGGGTGTGTCTGATGGGGATGAGAGTCACCCTCTACCTGGTGACCACCCTGCTTAGCTGGAGGGGTTGCCAGGCTCCCAGGAAATTCACCGCTGAGGCAGCCCTCACTCTGTCATCATAGATTGGGAGCAGAAGCATTTGCCAGGCCTGCTGAGGACCAAGGTGATTCATTTTCCTGAGCATCCCAGCTTCCTCTTTCATCCTCGATCCTCACGGTCATCTGACCTGAGGGCAGGAGATGTAGCTAGGGGATAGGAAGCTGTCTGGGCAGGGCTACATCTTAGCCGTCACTGTGGCTCTCTCCCTCTCTTGGCTTGAGCCTTTCCCTGCACCCAACAGTCCCCTTTTGGTTTCATTCCAGTGCTGGTTTGAGGGAAGAAATGTATCATCTTACAACAAAGCTAAAGAGATGGCCTTGTCTCCATGAGACACGATGCCCCATAGGCTGCACATTGTTTCCTGTCACAGATTCATCTCCATTTCCTCAGCCCATGATCCCAGGGCAGGGTGCAGGGCAGGGTGCAAGGACTCTGAGATGGGCCCCGGGCCCTTCCTGGAATCTCCCCACATCCCTCACTGTGCAGTTAAAGGAAAACCCAGCTCTGCAGCCTCTTCTTTACCCTACTTCTATCAGCTTAGACTTGGAGGAAGCATGCAACTCTCTGGCCCCATGTTTGAAGTTAGCAGGATTCTGCACTGTGTCCTCTTGATGCAAGGCAGGACCCATATCTCTGTGCTCCCATGCAGTGCCCCAGCCAGTGTAGCCAAGTCCGATACTCATTAGCATGCCATTTGGTCAGTTTGTGTCCTTCCAGCCTCTCCAAAGCGTTCCAGGTATAGTTGAGCACATACAAGAGTCTGCAAGTAGTGAGGCCTTCAAGCATCAGGAAGCAACACGCAACACACTGTACACTGCTCCCGAAGGCCTCTTCCTGCTTCTGGTGAGAGCTGAGCTGTGAAGGAGATGCCCACGCATGTCTGCCAGGCCCTAGATTCTTAGTTCAGGAAGATGGAAAAAGTACAATCAGCATCTCATCTCCATTCCTGGGGAGCATGTACTTTCTGCCCTTCTTTCTCTGTTATTCATCTTCTAAAGTTTGGAGTTTTTTGTTTTCTAGCTTAGGAGGCCGTGTCTGGGTGGTTTCAGTTGAAGGCTCCCCTCTAGAGGGAACCCACCCCACTGACGTTACTGCCCTCACCCAGCGCCTCCCTGGGTTACTCCTGCCTCCTGTGTGCCCCTGACCCGACGATAGAGTTAGATGGTGAGCCTGTGACCATGATGGCATTTCTCATTTTTGCTGTAGCCTACAGGGCCCATCCCATGGCAAGTTCCTGTTCCCAAAGACAGGCCCTGCCTTCTTTGTTCACTGCTGTGTCTCCAGAGCTTGACACAGAGCAGTCCCTAGACTGAAAAACTGTCACTCTGTGAATGAATGAATGAATGAATGAATGAATGAATGAATGGCTCAATAACTATTGGCTAATGAATAGAGAGCAAGTCTCTAAGGCACTATAAACCAGAGCTGTGACAGTCTTTAGAGTAGGGACCATTTCACCTCATTTGTAACCATAGTTCTTTCCACACTTCCTCAGCAAGCATTGAAAAGGCTACACCCACTGGTCAAAGCACATTGTGGAAAGCCCTCCTTACTGTTTTGAGTCGATCCCTGAGTGCCCTCCTGTCAATGGCATTCTGTTCTCTCTCCGTTTCAGCAGAGGGTAGGGGTAGGTGAGCCAGCCTCAGCCCTCACCTCTGTCCTTTCCATTTCAGGTTTGAGAATGGCAGTGAGTTTACCTCAGAGCTGGAGGATGGTGATGACCCAGCATCATATGACACCAACCTTTCCTATTACCACCTGGTCCCCTTTGAGACGGACATTTTGGACTGAGCCTTCAGGGGGCCCCTTCATCCCCAGGCTTCAGTTGCTGCTGGTTCTGCTGCTGTTCACCGCTTTGGCTCCAGGCCTGGGCCCTGAGGTGCCTGTGTTGACTAAGCATGGCTCTGCTGCCATGCTCCACTCAGCACCCTGCATCAATGGGGCCTGGTATTCTGAGAGTGGATCAGTGGAGTTTTCTGCGGTTAGGACCAACCTCAAGGTCTCCAACAACAGGAGTCAGGTCTCGGGAGTCCACGAAGCCTGCTGCTACGGACAGATCTTCTCTTTCCCCCGCAAATTGCCAGCCTGTTTCAGCCTTCCTGAGACTAGCTCCTCACAGTGTTTGGAGGAGCCACAAGTGCCTGCAGGATGTCTCAGTGCAAGGGCAGAATACCTAGGGTCTTTCTGGGTTCCTCCTCTCCTGTGATCACTTCCTGGAAAGGAGCCTTTCTCTTGGTACAGTGGCTCAGGGCCCGCCGGACCCCCCACATTCCCTGCCATCCCTGCCATCACAACCACACAAAACAACCCATGTGAGATTTTGTTGAGTCGACAAGTTCTTGACAACATAGGCAGGGTATGTTAAGTAATCAGCATTTTCTTAGGAACCAGGATGGGTGGCTTTTGTTTCTTATTTTCATCTTTTATCTGGAAACTGTGGGCTAGCTTTGTGTCAGCCAAAGGAGGTGTGAATTGTGAATAGGGACAAGGACTGTAGAAATCATTGACTGTCAGGTGCTTATATAAGCTGACCCTGAGTTAAAAATGCTCCAGTAGAGGAAGAGAATCCCTGCCTAGCCTGCCAGCATATCTGCAGAGTAGCAGTGCTTTAGCCATCCTGGGTATCAGAGGTTCAGCTCTCCTGCTGGTTACCCAGCTCTCAATGATAAAATTGCCATATTAACATGAAAGGGTGGGAATGAGAGGAAGGCCACTCACTCAGCCTGCCTATCACCATTTGCCCTCAGGGAGGGGCTGGGCTCTGCGTGCTTCTGTCCTTTTAAGTCTTCACAGTGTCTACTAAGGACCAACATTTGCTAATGTAAATAATAGTAAATTATTGAGAATCCTAATTCTTTTACACAGTCTGTTTTTTAATCTATTTTAATTAAATAAAATTTATTACTCTCCTTTTATGGATGTAAGGTGTTTGTGTATAAAGGTGTGCCTCTTTGTAGTCCCTTCCAGGAGGGGATAGAAATCAAACCTGTCCCCTTAGGCTGGCCCTGAGCATGCTTCTCTCATTGTTATTGAGGAGTATGTTTTATTCTTTCCATAGGGAATAATCTGTCCAAAATGAAAAGTGAATAAACAGTTGAAAGAAGCAAAGTATACATTCTTTCCAAGTGCACATGGAACATTTTCTAAGATACATTACATGGTAGAACATGAAACAAGCCTCAACAAATTCAAGAAAATTGAAATTACATCAATTGTGCTTGGATCACAATGGCTTGAAACTAGAAACCAACCTCAAGGGAAAAACTCAAAAACATTCAAATACATGGAGACTGTTATTAAATATTGAATGGGTCAACAAAGAGATAAAGGAAGAAAATAAAAAAGTATCAGGAAACATGGAAATGAACATGCAATGACACAAAACCTATGGCACACAGTGAGGGCAGTCCTGAGAGGGAAGTTGATAGCAGTATAGGCCTACCTAGAGAAGAGAAAAACCTCAAATAAACAACCTAACCCTACAACTACAAGAAGTAAAGGAACAGCAAGCAAAGCCCAGAGCAAGTAGAAAGAAAGGTCAGAGCAGTATTAAATGACGTAAAGATTAAACGAACAATTCAAAGGATCAATAAATCCAGGAGCTCGTTCTTTGAAAAGATAAACAGACTCATCAAGAAAAAAAAGAAAAAGGAACCAAATAAAATTGGAAATGAAAGAGAAGTTACAACCAATACCACAGAAATACAAAGGATGGCAAGAAATTACTACAAACAACTATATGCCAAGAAATTGGACAACCTGGGTGAAATGGACATATTCTTAGAAACACATTTTCCAAAACTGAATCAACAAGAAACAGAAAGCCTGAATAGACTGATAACAACTAGTAAAATTGAAGCAGTAATAAAAAAACTGGCCCACAAAAGCCATGGACTAAATGGCTTCACAGGTGAATTTTACCAAACATTTAAGGAAGAACTAACTCCTATCCTCAAATTATTCCAAGAAACTGAAGAAGAGGAAGGACTCCCAAACTCTTTTATGAGGCCATTATCATCCTAATTCCAAAACCAGGTAGAGACACAGCAAAGAAAGAAAACTACAGGCCAATATCTCTGATGCACATAGATGCTACAATTTTGTTGTTGATGCACAACAAAATACTGGCAATCTGGATTCAGCAATACATTAAAAAGATCATACATCATGATCAAGTGGAAGTCATCCCAGAGATGCAAGAATGGTACAATATTTGCAAATCAATAAGCATAGTACAACATAAACAAAATGAAGGACAAAAATTACATGATTGTATAAGTAGATGCTGAAAAAGCACTTGATAAAATCCAGAACATATTTATGATAAAAACACTTAGCAAAGTGGGAATAGTGGAGCATACCTCAATATAATAAGAGCTATACATGTGAAACCTATAGCCAATGTTATACTCAATGGGCAAAAACTAAAAGCTTAACCCTTAGGTTCAGGAACAAGACAAAGGTGTCTGCTTTTACCACTCTTACTCAGCATAGTACTAGAAATTCTAGCCACAGTGATTAGACAAGAAAAATAAATAGACATCCAGTTTGGAAAGGAGGAAGTAAAACTATCATTGTTTGCAGTTGATGTGATAGTGTACATAGAAACCCCTATAATATCCACCAAAAAACTACTCGACCTAATTGAATTTGGCAAAATAGTGGGATACAAAGTCAATATTCAGAAATTGAAGGCATTTTGTATACCAACAATGAAACATCAGAAACAGAAACTAGGAAATAAATCCCATTTACTATAGCAAAATGAAAAAATAAAGTACCTAGGAATAAATTTAACCAAAGAGGCAAAAGACCTGTACTTGGAAAATGATAGAACACTGAAGAGAGAAATTGAGGAAGATACAAAATAAATGGAAGCATATACCATGTTCATGGATTGGAAGAATTAACACCATTAAAATGTCCACACTACCCAAAACAATCTACAGATTCAATACAATTCCTATTAAAACACCAAGGGCATACTTCACAGATCTAGAACAAATATTTCAAAAATTTATATGGAACAACAATAACAACAACAACAAAAAACAATGCTCCAACAGCCTCAGCAATTTTGGGAAAGAAGAACAAAGTAGAGGGGATCACAATATCTGATAGCAAATGGCACTACAAGGCACTGTAATCAAAACAGTCTGGGACTGGCATAAGAACATACACATGTCAATGGAACAGAATAGAGAACTCAGAAATAAACCCAAATCTCTGGTCAATTAATATTGGACAAAGGGAGTGTGCGCACAAAGTGGAGTAAAAATAGCCTCTTCAATAAATGGTGTTAGGAGAACTGGACTGGTACACACACACACACACACACACACACACACACACACTCACACACACTCAAACACTCACACACTCACAAATGAAACTAGACCACCAACTTACACTGTACACCAGAATAAACTCAAAATGGATAAAGGACTTAAATATAAGTTGTAACACGATAAAAATCCTATAGGAAAACATAGGCAGAAAAATTTCAGATATCTCAAGTAGTAATATTTTTGCCTTATGTATCTCCTAATAAAAACTTAAACAAATAGAAGAATCAGAAATTTTCAGCCTTTAAACTTTCAGAGAATCCATACCAGAGGAGTTCAGGTTCAGGTGTGAGGTTGCATGCAGTCTTGCCCACATATTTCTCCAGAGGCTGGTTTAGAACAACTGCTTCTGTCTTTATTTGCTCTGTGTCATGTCCTTCATGCCATGCTATCCAGGAGACCCCTTGGCAGTTTTGGCCTGAATACTCCTTATCACTGACAATTGTGAGGGCTACTGTCATGAAACTTATTAGGCTACTGAAAAGTGGTGTGCCATTGAAACAAAAATCATTTTTGTTAAATCACATGATTTAAGCCACCTAAGTTTACTGTTTGAAAGGAACCTTCAATGAATTCTAGTTTTAGACAGAGGAATCATGCCCTCTGTGTTTTATAAATAGATGCTATGGGGGACTCCAGCCCACGAAGCCCTCCAATTTGCCGCAGATGGAAGAATGAGTTATTCCAGACACTGTTTGCTTGTCAAGGAAAGGGAAGGCAATTCCTTCTAGTGGGGAATGCCCCAAGCCCTGTGCTCAATGGCTTTTATTGAGAGGGTTACAAGAGGGAGGTAGGTAGCAGGAATGGATAGGTAATCTTATTACATCAGTAACTTAAGGTCACAGAGAATAGGTGATGTTTAAAGAACACAATGCAAGAACACACAGAATTGCTTGGATCCGAGTTGAGTAAACGTATGGTGCCAGATGGGATTTGGGTCAGGGTCCAGGAATTTTGTAAATTTCCTTCCTAGCCTTGAGCTTGTTACCTGGTATAAGATTAACAGAGCTTGAGGGAGAAACAAAGCATCAGCTTCAAGGAGTGTAATTTATTTCTAGGCCTGATTTCCCCCAGGGGCCCCTGCAGTTATTATTGGGTCTTGCCTATCAATCGCATTACCAGCGTTCTGGGCAAGTCTTATGGGGCCTCTTCTAGGCCCCAGCTTGCGTGGGACTATAGTCCCTGATACCACTCAAAACGGCCCCCAACAAGATGCTGGACTTCAAGAATGAGACAAGACTTTCTTGATGTGAGAGACACACAATGTGGATGTCATCTTGGTCTGTTTCTGCTCATGCCAACAGAATTGACATGCTGAGTGGTACTTGTTTGTTGTGGGACATTAGACAAGCACAAGCTACCTGGTAATTGAGCAGATGGGACTCATTAATAAAAACACAGTTTTCCTCCTGGGGATAGAATGCATTCTTGGTCTTCATTTAAGAAGGCATTCTCTCAAATTACAAGTATATTTATTGCAAGTGAAATTTCTGTCTCATGTTGGATGTGCTAATGTACCTCATGCTCTTACTATTTTAAAATGTAGATTTTACTATTATGAGGGTCTGACAAAACCAACAGATCAGAAGGACTGCCACTGAAAATATAGTTTGTTACTCAGAGATTCCAAGAAAAGGGGTAAGGTGGAGGCATGTCACATTATGCAAGAGCACTTGGGGAAGCACCAGGGCCGGTCAGGAGGAAAAGGGGGTAAGGGAGCTATGGGCAAAAGTCACCATTGTGTTTCCATAGGGAGGAACAGATGAGGCAAGGTGAGCAGGTTTAGGATTGGCAGGGTTGAATAATGTCAGTGGGCTCTGGGACACAGGGGCTAGCCCTCGTTGTTGGTACCTGGCCCTGGGGTGATTAGGTCAGGTGGACAGTGGCCTAGAGTGTGAAAGCCCCACATAGGACATTGGTGTTGGGGGGGTGTCTTCTGGATTGGTTTGTTTGCACATACAAGGCATACTCTAAGGCAGTTGTTTACTATCTATAGGCATTGGCTAACCCTGGGAGAAGTTGTCCCTCCAAAGTCAGCAAAGTCTCAGGGTGTTTAAGCATAAAATACAGAAACTAGAAGACGTAATTATGACATACACTACCCCTATAAATCCTTGTTCTTTGGATTGGAGGGATCTGATTTTATCTCTTGCTGAGGGCACAGAGAACACCAAAAATGTTGCATGTCTTTATGCCTCATGCAAAAAACCCTTCCAACATAAACAAGACCCTGATTACATATAGTTGTTACTTTTTTTTTTTAGCCTTACCTGACGTCATTTTTCGTTGCTTTTTAGAGAGAGAGGGACGGAATAAGAGAGAGAGACAGAGAGAAATATCCATGCGCGAGAGAAATATCAACTGGTTGCCTTTTCATATACACCCCAATTGGGTGCTGAACCCACAACCTGGTTATGTGCCCCAACCGGGAATTGAACCCATGACATTTTGTTCTGTCGGACAAAGCTCCAACCAACTGAACCACACTGACCAGGGCTAGGCGTTACTTTTTTCTTAACTTCAATGTGTAATATATTCCTGCAGTTCAAAAATCAAAAT